TACATGCTTGAAAATGTTTTATATGTTTGATTTTATTTTTAAATTCTCATTTGAATATGCTTTACATCTTATGTTTATGTATTTTAATTTTAGATAATAGKYTTTYWAAAACATTATTTTAAAATTTAAGTTTATATTTTTTATTAATATTATGTTTAATATTTTTTTTATTTTTTTGGCGTTCTTTTTGAATTTTTTGACATTTTTTTTTATTTTTTAGCATTTTTTTTTGTATTTTTGCACCTTGCTTCAAAAAGGCGTGCACCTCGCCTTGCGCCTTGCGCCTCAGGCGCAAATTGACCCCTGCGTGTTTTTTGCGCCTTGCGCTTTTAAAACACTACCTGCAATAAGATTTCTCCAGTTATCTATGGTTTTTGGGAAAAATATCCAAGAACCTGCCTTGGGCTTCAACTAAGGATGAAAGCCTCTACAAAAACTCTCCAAAAACCCTCCTAACTAGGCTGCGCAAGTTGCTGATTGATCAAATGGTTAGTTCTCCATAGACATTGTGTATAGGAAAAGAAAAGAGAAAGAAGTCGAAAGTGAGAGCTGGCTCTTATACCAAGTTGAGAAATACATCTGCAGTAAATCAGAAAATATAGAAAAGAAAGAAAGAAAGCGAAAGGAGAAGAGGTTTCAGTAGTAGGTTATTGAAGAAGAAGAGAAGGGAAGAGAGAAAAGAAGAGTTTGAACGTCTCTCTCTTGCCCCCTTGATCTCTTTTATTAACTTAATTCTAAAATTAAGTACAATTACCCGGATGCCCTTAATGGGGCGGCCAACACTAAAGAAATAATTAAAGAAAACAAAAATAGCCCATAACTAAGGCCCATAACCAACAAACATAACCTTAAACACTACTTAAAAGAAATAAAAAGCACCAAGGTCCATTCGGCCCATTCTCACTACAAGATGAAAGGACAATAATGCCCTTGTATCACTAAACATACATATTACTCCCTTAAGTTGGGCATCATTCCTAACTTGTTACGTAGATCATTTTGATGCTGGGTGGTTACAACTTTTGCGGATATTGCAGCCAAAGTACTAACATATGGAATACATATTTCACTTGCTTCCAACTTTTCCCTAATAAAATGCTTGTCAATGAATGCTTAGTCCTGTCCTGTTGGATAGCATTATGAGCTACATTCAAAGCTTGTAATAAGTTGGCTCCGAAAGGTTGAGGAGGCTGGATGGTGGTGCCACATCTATGAGAAAAGGAAAGCCATGAAATTGTTACAAGGGATAGAGGTGACCAGCGATTGGATAAGAAGAGATGCAAATGCTTTTGCTGACACACTTCCCTCTATTGGCAACTTGTAGGGTCTCTCATCTATCTGACCATGACTCGTCCTGACATTTCATATGCAGCTCATGTTGTTAGTTAGTTTGTTTCTGCCCCTCGTCAACCCCATTTGACTGCGGTGCACCAAATCATCCGCTATATTTGGGGCTCTTTATCACAAGGTCTTTTCTTCTCTTCATCTTCTTCTCTCTAATTGAAGGTCTATGCTGATGCAGTTTGGGCTGGATGCCCCGACACATGCCGCTCCACTACCGGGTGGTGTGTCTTCATGGGTGACTCTCTAATATCATGGAAATGTAAGAAACAACAAATTGTTTCCAAGTCCTCTATGGAAGTAGAGTACAGGGCAATGTCATTTGTTTGTAGTAAAGTTGTTTGGCTTCAATCTTTGTTTCAAGAGTTGGGTTATTCCTCTCCTACGCCCATTCTTCTGTATGTGAACAACACTAGTGCTATTACGATTGCCTCTAATCCTGTCTTTCATGAAAGGGCAAAGCATATTGAGGTGGACTGCCACTTTATTCGCGACCTGTTTCTTGCAAACTCTATCTCTCTCCCTCATGTTGCCTCTGATATGCAAGTTGCTGACATCTTCACAAAGGCCATGACGAGGTCCAGACACTTATTTCTAGTAAGCAAACTGATGCTCATGCCTCTGCATCAGTTTGAGGGGGAGTGTGAAGATGTACCATTTTATTGTAGTCCTTATTGTATTGTTTCTCTTATTTTATTATTATTTTCTTTTCATCCCTACAAGGGCCTCTCTGTAAATTCTCTAATTTCTGTTAATCTACAAGGGCTTCTTTGTAAATTCTTTAATTTCATTTTCTATATAAAGGATCCTTGGGGTAGGGTTGAATCATCCATTCTTCATTCCCAGAATTATGTATTCTGCTCTAGGTCTGTTGACAAGGTAAGAGCTTCCCAGGCATCCCTAGGTATAGATATAGATGACAAAAGAAAAACAAACTGGCAATAAGTATACACTTTTTGGATTGGTGGTCATTTAGTACGAGTCTGCACTAGAGGAGGTGAAGGCCCAGTCACAAAAGGAACAGCCGGAATGGGATCGTCAACTGGAACTAAAGAGGAACCATTGGAGAATAGGGAGAAACATTAGGACCCGAGAAAAATGGCATAAAATAAAAAAATGTGACATCAGGACAAACAAATGATTGTTGAGTGATAAGATTATAACACTTATACCCTTTATGGGTCCTAGAATAGCCAAGAAAAATACACTTTGTAGAGCATGCATCCAACTTGTCTAAGCTGGGACCTAGGTTATGAACAAAACACATTCAACTAAAGATCTTGGGAGTCAAAGGAAACAGAGACAAAGTAGGAAACAAAATAGAAAAGGGAGAACAACCATTAAGGATGAATGAGGGCATCTGATTAATGAGAAAACAAGTTGTGAGTATTGCATCATTCCAAAACTGTTTTGGAACATTCATATGATGAAGAAGGGAAGCTGTCTTGGAGCTTGAAAGAATCACCAATAGTTCCCTAGAATCAAAATATTTGAGAGAGTTTTATAATGCAATTAGATGCTTCAAAAATCAGAGAGATGTTCCGACTGTTTAGGCGAGGCCCATGTAGAACCACACCTATATCCTAATAAATTCATCCTTACTGTGTATTTAATGGCCTTTGTCTTTGTATGAAACAGATGGTTACAGAGCTGACCTCATAGTTTTCAAGGCGCCAAGGCGAGGCTAAGCGACAGGGGGGTGCCTTGTCACCTACTCGCCTAGGCAATGGATTTTTTTAAGTAAAAAGCACATATCCTAGGGTAGTTCCCTAGGTTCCATAACCATATTTCCTTAATTACTATCCATAATTTTCATAAGAAAATTATACACTCCATGTTTAAGTCTAGAAAATCAACATATTTATGAGAAGAAAAAGAATAAAGAAAAGAAAATTAAAAAAAATATAGGGGCTAAACCCCTATTTTTGTTTTAGGAAAAGAAGAAAAGAAAAGGTGGAAGAAGAAGAAGAAGAAATTTGTTGATTAGACAAAAATTTAAGTTCTTTCATTATTTATTGGTTCAAATTTTGAAGTCTTTGACGGTTCAATACAGCAGCTAGCAATGTTTGTGTTGATTAAACCCTAACAAATAAGAAAAGAATAAAAAAAAATTAGCTTATAAACACAAAAAATGAATACTTTTGTTTAATAAAGTCTATTTATAATTATAATCTCAAAAAATAACAATATAAAAGTATTTTATACGACAGTATACGAAACTGCTTGGCAACTGGGCGAGGCTAGCCTCCCAGGGTCCTTGTCACCTAGGCGTCGCCTTGACAACTATGACTGACCTGCAAATAATTAGCATTTGATCGGATATCTGGAAGTTGGTGATATCTCATTAAAAAATACACAAATCTAGTCGTTCTTTCATTCTTGCTGTAAACGGAAACATGTTGATATACTTTTGTCCTCTCTTTAAATTTCAAGATGCTCATATTTTTTTCTGTTATCCACCAACAGGTCCAAACTTGAACCTGATTCTTAAACGAGCCTTCAGTCCATGGTCCAGGTCCAAGTTTTTGGGCCTAGCCCCTACTAATTTTGGCTGGGTATGTCTACCATCTGGTAATCGGATACCCATTGTCACCATCATACTGCCCAGACTTCAATTCGGGCTATAGGATCGTGCAAATGGGCTGGATACCCTGCATCATGGCTAAGGCTTCTATGAACTTAATAAACTGGAAATATTGGTTTTATTCTTATCTTAGGATACACTAATAGTTATTTAGAAAAAAAAAAGTACTTGTGGAATGTGCACAAATACATATTTTATCAGGTTGAGCAACGTGACTGATAATAACCAAATGGTTATTCGACTCATGCAGCTTCTGGGGAGCCACCATTACTTTTAGCAGTATCTGTTCACTGTGCAACAAGAGCAGCTATAAGAGAAGCCAGGAAGGACCATTTTAAATGGTGCAGCTCAGATGGATCTCATTTAACCTTTCAGTTGGATGTCCCTGCAACCATGCCTGTTGTCAAGGAGCTCTGTGGACTGGACAATGTAGAGAGATACTTGCAGAGCCTGCTTTCTCATAAATGAATTAGAATGCCTGCATGCTGACATGGTCATGGTGTTCTTCCCATGCTTCAAAGATCATGTATGTTATATATTTGGTCACTTGAAACAGAATCTTTTCACTTAAATGGAGTCACAAAATGTGATCCAATTATTGTATTAAGCAATATAATTGATGCAGCTCTATAAATAAATCAGTTAATTGATACTCAGTCTTGACATACAAATCACCTTTGCATCAACTTCCACATGTTTAGTATGATCGTGCTAAATAGGGTTATGAGCAATTTGATGCAGCTCCAAGTAATTTCAGGCTTTTCAGCTACATTAGTTCAGATATCTCATTACGCAGACCCAAAGTTTGCTTTTGCACTCAACCTATCTACTACATTCTGCTTTTTTATCCTCCATGTTACCAAGTTCCCTCTTAATAAGGTATACATGAAAGTTGAATGCCTATCATCAACAAATCCTGCTTAATTTGCATCTGTGTATGCTTCCAAATGCAAATGCCTATGATTAGAAAAGAGTATCCCTTTCTCAGAGTGGCTTTCAAGTATGTAAGCACCTTCTCAGCGGGCTCAAGACCAGGAGCACGAGGAGAATGCTTGTACCAACTTATCACTCCCACGGGATAAGAAATGTTTGGCCTTATGAGGGATAAGTAAATAAGTATTTCCACAAGTCTTTGAAACATCCCCTTTTCTTTGGCCACTTCAATACCTACAAGTAAGGTTCAAAGTATCAACACGTATCGGCCTATATCGGTCGATACGTATCATATCGTTCTGGGACCTCCCCGATACGCTCCTACAGTGGGTGTATCAGGGTTCTGACTGGTTCAGGGGGTGAAGGAGCCTTAAACTGCCCCCTGAACCGATTTCGAAAAAAATAAAAAAAGGTATGAAAAACAGTATTGATATCGCCCAATACGCCCCTATCGACGTATCGGGCGTATCGATATTTTGAACCTTGCTAACAAGTACTTGAGTTCTCCCAAGTCTTTGACTTAAAACTCTAATGCAAGGAAGGTTTAGAGGTGTAAAGTGGACCGTGCCGGGCCGGGACAGCATGACCCGTGCCCGTGCAAAGTGAGGGCCGTGTCGTGCTGGCCTGTGGGCCGTTACGGGCCATGCCACCCTCCCTGGTGAAAAATTTGGGGGTTGGCCCGGCACGGCCCACGCCCGTGTCCCATGCCGTGTCGTGTCGTGTTGCGGGCCAGGTTGGCCCATGGGCCGAGCCTTGGGCCAGGTTAGGCCGTGCATCAGGCAAAAGCTATTTATTTAAAAAAATTGACAAAAAACATAAAATTTTAATTTTATATGAATTTTGTGTATACAATTACATATATATACAATAATTAAATAAATTATTATAATAAAATTAAAAAAACATTTATTTTATTAATATATTATATACTATATATTATTATATAATTATAATTTATATAAAATATATATAAATATATATAAATAATATATATGGGTCATGCCAGCCCGTGGACCTAAAAGCCCAGGCCCAGCACGGCCCGCATGATCATGCTGGGCTTGGCATAGCCTGCGGACCGTCGTGCTGAGCCGTGTCGGGCCACAGGTGGCACGACCCGATTTACACCTCTAGGAAGGTTTTAAGTCGGTGAATTTCTTTGTGATGATCTCCTATGATAATTACATCATCCACATATACTATAAGAATTGAAGCTAATCCTTTCTCTTGCTTAATAGACAAAGTGTGATTTGCCTAGGTTTGAGCATATCCAAACCTCTTAATCACTTTGTTGATCCAGTCAAACCAAGCCCTGAGATATTGCTTCAGTCCATAAATAAATTTCTTCAACCAACAAACATTTTTGGGAGGAATGTCAATGCTCAAAGGTGGAAGCATGTAAGCTTCTTTCAAAACTCAATGAAAAATAAGGCTCGAGACTTGTGAGTTGTAACTACCAACAATGCTATAATAGAATTAGTTTTAGCAATGGGGGGTAAAAGTCATCAGTATAATCAATACCATTAGTTTGATCCATCTATACCATTGTCAACTAGTCTAGCTTTATATTTCTCAACATATCCACCGTATTTATATTTTATAGTAGACCTATCTATAACCCACTAGATCCTTTCCCTGGGAAAAACAACTAGCTCCAAAGTTTCAGTTTTGATGAGGGTCTCCATCTCAATATTAATGGCTCCCTGCACTCAAGTTTTCAATTCTTGAAAAGATGAGGGGCGAGGGCCTCCATCTTTTCAATTCTTGAAACATCTCTACTTGTTCCAAAACAAAAATAAAGCCTTTAATTAGTTATATTTTTGTTTGAGAACAAAACAACAAGAAGACCATAAAATCACCCTCTTCAACCTTTTGGAAGCAAGATGAAGTTATCAAATGAAATCTTGGCACCTAATAAACACCAATTTAAGATTGAATCTTGATGGGGTTTTTCAAGAAACCCTAAATCACCATATACATATAACAAGATTTGGTCTTGTACATCAACATGGACGATGGATCTAATACCATTGAAAGATTCTAGTGAATCCTATGTTATCTTAATGTAGCAAAGATTAAAAACTAAAGAATTTTGGATAACCAAGATCACACCCATGGTGGTGCACAAAACCCTAATTGTAAACACAAAAACTGCATACTTATTATGTAGGTTTGATTTGTTGAAGCAGATCCTCAAAAGATTGATTCTAACTACATTCTCACAATTGTTTGGCCTCCAAGACTGATTCAACGAAAGACAACAGTAGGCAAAAACGGTTGGGTGGCTCCAAGATTGTGCTAGCAATCCTTTGGTGGCTAGAGCTTAGTTAATAGAGTGTATTATGTAACCCTAGGGCTTCTCCTTCTATTATCTTATATAGCTTGTACTCCTTTTTTTTATTAGGAGAGGATTTATCTAATAAATCCTCTTAATAGCAATAAGTCCCTAATTATTACAATTAGGTCCCTATACTAAGACTCACCTTAGTGAGCACACCCCATATGCATTTTTCTACTTAATGTTTGTGATTTCTTAGGTTCAAAGCTATTGGCAGTGGAAAATGATGTTGAACTCCTTAAGCATCCTACATAGAACTTCTAGCTGAATTGAATTAAAACTCTTTTAATCAAGAAACCATGAGTTACACTTAAAAATATGTCATTGTTACACTAACAACTTGAATTTAGCAGTTTGAAACTTTCCATCTCTAGTTATTGTATAGTCAAATCCTTCTATCATACAATATCCCAAGGGAGCAAAGAGTCATGGTGGACAAGTCAAACCCTATTGGTTCAATCATATGTTCCACTAAATTGATGATGACTCATGATGATACATGGATCTCTTTCATATACCATACTACCTTGGCCAAGGACCATGGAACCTGTTCATTGCACTTCAAAACATGTTCATTGAACCTTACAACACACTCAACACACCTTGAAACTTGATCATCCCACCTTAGAACCTGCTCATCGTTCCTCAGATCACGTCTATCGCACCTCAGACCAGTTCATCGCACATCTAAACATGCCCATTGCACCTTAGAACATGTTCATCACACATCTAAACATGCCCATTGCACCTTAGAACATGTTCATCACACCTAAGAACCTGTTTATCATGTCTCAGAACACACCCATTACACCTCAAAACCTATTCATCGCACCTCAAAACATGCTCATTGCACATCATAGCATGCCCTTCGCACCTTAGAACATATTCTTCCATATAGGGCAAGCATAACATGTGGCAGCCATTTGAACTATCATAGCCCTCTTGATAGTCCTATGACTAGGAACCATTTTAGGATCCTTGTATTAGGTGAAAATATATCTCAAAATTTCTAACATACTTAGTAATATGTTTGTTTAACGAACAAACTATGGGTTATTCATATGAAACTAAAAGTTGCAAATATGAATGACAAAAGTGCCCTTTTACTAAAAAATGTGGATAGTACAAAATATTTCTCTCTAAAGTGTCGCACAATTTGTTTTAGGGCATATTATTAACAAGGTATACATTGATCAGCTTGGCTTATGCTCCTAAATTCACCTAATTGAACCTAATATTGACCAATCTAGCCTTGGATAAAAGCATTTTAATGTTGACCTTTGTGCCGACCAACTTATTTTAATCTCTCCCCTTCTCACCAATCAACACATACTCCTTGAGACCTATCGTAGCTAGGCGCCAACCACCTCTTTGTGGAGGCTACATTAGCCATCTACTCACATAGAAAAAGTGCTCCTTCCAGCCATGGATTGAGGAGGAAGCCCTTGGAAACCTAGTGCCCAAGTTTTGAGCTGAAAAGTAGTATCATCCCTTGGACAGAGGATGTTCTTAAATACAAAGAGGACTTGGAAGACCTGTGTAGTTAATCCCACTTGGTGAATCTGAGTCGTGTAAATAGTAATGATAAGAAACCTCACTGAGTTCGGGACTAACTAAAGAACTATCACCTCATGAAGCATCAAAATTTGAGCCACTTGTTTGTCTATTGGGAACTAGAGCCCAACAGTGAGGTTGTCCTCGTACATGCATAACTACCCCATAGTGGCTAGGTAGACTCTCTTCTCCTTGGTTGACGCTTGCATCTCAAACTCCTTGGGTATTTGTTATTGACAACTAATCATCACCTTTTGCCTCATTGTACTCCTAACAAGATGAGTTCCAACCTTGGGAACATCCTCCTCCTCACCCATGCTGACGATTTCAGCTTTAGTGTCCCCTACCTCAGCCTTCTCAACCTTTACCTTTAGAATAGACTCGAAAGTAGATTCATCTATAACCTGGGGGCTACAGGTCTCAATGTCCCTGACCTTGGCCATAGGGACCTACTCAACTGATCCGGAGTGATCACTTGCCAACTTTGACGTTGAGCCGGAATGCTTAGACCCACTACTGGAGTAACTAGAGCTTGAACTAGAACTGCTGGATAAGGACATGATAAGAAGAGCAAAAGAAACATATCCAATTGAACTTCTACACTGACGACGACACTGAGCACTGAGTTGAACTCCTAGACAACCTAGCTTTGGTCTACTCTCCTTGGGCTCTAGAAGCAAATGGCAAAGTCCTAGTTGTTCAAGACTCCTCCCTTATATTGTAGCCTTTGACAGTTCAGACAGGACACCACGAGGGGTGAATCAATGCATTAATGACAACACCCATGCCAATCACATGAGCAGAGAAGTGACGTGACTCCCATAGAACACGTACG